CTTGCTTTTGCATTAAGAAAAATAACTGAGAAACATAATATTTTACAGAAAAGGGGAGCATTTTTTGTTCTGGAGTCAGTCACAGGTGGTGAGAAATTTCTCTGTAGGTTTAACAGGAACATTCCAAAAAGCCCCTTTAAAACCCGCTCAAGGTAAGATTTCTCTAACCACACTTCAAAAGCACTTGCAGCTGTTATTTTGGATCTTGTGGATGTGCCAAATAGGTTTACTCTAACCATAGTTCAGCAAATTAAAAATGAATAAAATAAGACAAAAGAATTCTGAAACGAGTGACTCTAGACCAGGGTCTTAGAGGAAAGGTGTGGAGTCAGGTGGTCTGAGAAGCTCAGTCAAAAGTCAGAGAGCCCTGGAGGAACACCAGCGTCACATCCCAGGGAGATAAGGCATGGCACCCAGAGACAGCCCTGTGTCCAGCCGGGCATCCTATCTGTGGGGATGACTGGGCCGTTTCCTGGTGCTCAGGCACTCCCTGCCCTGCCCTTCATCACAGCCTCCCTGGTGGTGGTGGCTTGGTGCACAAGAGCCATTCTAATGGAGACGACAAGAACCCACCAGAACTCTGCAGCAGGCAGGACACGCACACCCGGAGCGGCTTTGAAGGGTCACAAATTTACCCAGGTTGGTGAAGGTGTGCCGCATGGAAATGCAACCACCAACGACCACTTTCCTGTGCACAGTGTCCCTTCATCCTCTCGGTGGCTCTCCAATGGCCTCTATTGGGCCTGTTGATGAAAACTGACCCAACAGCTTGTTCTGGACACAGGATGTGAACAAGTTCCACCAGGAAAGTCCTCACTGTGGGTCTCAACTGGATCTACCCACGCAGGGCAAAACCTCCCCCAGGACTCTCCTGATGGGCTGTGGAGTCCACACCCAGTGTGTTGGGGACCCAGGGTAATGAGCCCAATGCCCAGTTCCTGATGCACATCTCACCTCACTGCCCGCAGGGGCCACCTCCACCCTCCTCCACCTTCCTCACAGAGGAGCAGGGCCTCTGTCCAACAGCGCTCAGAAGCTCCTGGAGAGCTGATGTATGTCTCTTTCCTCCTCCTACCTTTTCCCCATGCCAACCTTCCTGAGAAGTTCTGGGAACCAGCACATTATCAAGAACATGGTGGACACTCAAGAAATATTAAAGCAATTAAATGGATGATGGAAAAAGTGCTGATATGTGATCAGACTGGACAAAGAGGGAAGCTACCCCATGGAGCCCTGTATTTTGCTGATCCAAATACGTCTGTGACCTGAGGCCTCCGTCTGGGATCGGGTGCCTTGAACAAAGAAGCAGGGCCTCTTGATGCTCCCCAAGTGTGTCTGCATTCGGGGCGGGGGGTTCCTGCTGAGTTCCATCTGGACAGTCCACACTGGAAATGCCTCCAGCTGGAGAATGAAACTCAGAGTCCTTGCAGCTGGACACGGAGAGCCGCGTGCAAGCAGGGAAGGCTAAAATGGTGACTCCAGAGGGGTCATCTTGACAACAAGTCTGCGCCCCCTGGAATGCTCGGCCACTTCAAAAAGAGAGCGCTTGCCAGAAACTTGCAAAGGGGCAAAGGCCTCCGGGTCACTGGCTCCGCAAGGGCTGCATGGGAAGTGGTGGCCCAGACTGCCTGGGACCGCGGATCCCCAGGAGCAGATGTTCAACTGCAGCCACTACAGGGCCTCGATGCCGGACATCCAGGCCTGGGTGGCGTGCTTCCCTCCCAGATGGCCACCAGTGCACAGCTAGGCCAATTAGCGTCATCACGACTGCCGGTCAGAGAACGTCCTGTTTATTTTTAATTTCGCCAGCTTGCCTGTGGCTGGAGTGAGACCTAAGGATCATCACAGGCTCTCCCCATCCTGCTCCACCGCAGCCCCTGATTAATTAGGAAATCTGAAAGCTGGATTTCTTCTGCTGCTCCCCAATTACATCATTGGATGTGAGTATGTGCTTCAACTGCCCTGTGAATGCTATGGGTTGGTCCACTGCAGGCTTCAAATCACAGGTCTGATTCTTGGCCATTCCCACTAGAAACTAAATGTGACTCCATACTGAATTGACTAGGAAGTCTGATTCCCAGCATAAGAGGTCTAAAGTGGGACTCCACCCCATTACCTTCTTTGACCTTTCAACATTGAAGGATCCTCTCACAGCCAACCCATGTGGCTTGCTTTTTCAAGCGTGTGTGTATGCCCACACACCCCTCTGATTTTTTATTCTCTTAGAACAGGGTTTCTCAACCTCAACACCATTGGCATCTTGAGCTGGAGACTTCTTCGTGGTGGGGGCTGTCTTGTGCAATGTGGAAGGCTCAGCAGTATTCCTGGCCTCTGTCACTACATGCCGGTGGTAGTCCCCAGCCCATGTGACAACAGAAAAGGTCTCCTGATATTGCCAAGTATCTTAGGAAGCAAAACTGCACCCGTTTGCAAACCACCATGACCTTAGCCCTAAAAGGATGGTATAGAATAACGTTTCTAACATTATATTTTTGGAGCCAAGGGATACTAGAAGTTGAGTAAGAAAGTTTCCCTTTACGATTTATTTCCTGGATTAAGCAAATCGAGGAGTTTAAGTAGTTGGGAAAAGGCCCAAGAGTTCATTTGATCAAGAAGCGTCCATTGGAGGAGCCAGCAGTTGTTCCTTGAAATTGGGGGGATTCGTGACACAGTCCAGCGGGACTCCTTCACCCTGTCTTCCTGGCTTCAAGGAGGAGGCCGCCTTGGTGATGAGGAAGATGGCAGGAGAGGCCCCAGCTTGGCCCACTGTCCTGCCCTCTCCGTCCACATCAGCTCTGCCCTGGCCAACCTCCTCCACTGTGTCCAAGTAGGAGGAAAAAGACTTTTTTTTTTTTTTTTTTTTTTTTAACCAAAACTGAACACTGTTATCAGATGCAACAAGAATTACAGAAGAGTTCCTGGCGGTGGGGCAGCTGCCGTGCGCTCGCTCCCCGGGTCCCCTGCAAACCTCCCCCTCAGCCTGCTTAGCACCCTGCCCTGGGATCCTGGTCCACTGTCTCTCTCCCTGGACTGCAGGCTCCCTGAGGGGAAGCTGCACTTGACTCCAATCTCTACTCCCCAAGCTCGACACAGAGCCTGGCCTACATTTCTTTTCATGGTGCATCATAGTTGTACATAGTGATGGGGTTTGTTGTCACCTATTTGTACCCACACACAAGATAATTCAGCCAATGTCACTCCCTGGCACTGGCCCACATTTTTATTCTAATAAAAGCTGGTACATATTGGCCGTTTACCTGCCAGGTACTAAGCACTTAATACTTCACATACAGCACCTCATTTAAATGTCCTCCAAACCTTAGGAGGGAGGCGCCAGATTCTCATTTTATATGAGGGAAGATTGAGTTTAGGGAGGGAGATGGTCTCTTTAAGTGTCCTGTCCTCACACACTCTCTCACCCTCTCTCTCATGCACACACACACACACACACACACACACAGAATGAGAGAGAAAACCAGAACACAAGCGTGAGAACCAACCCGGGGCCCAGGCTGTTCAGACCCAGCTCCTTAATCCTGAGCTTTCCCAGCCACTGGATACAAATCTGATGAACAAACAGATGAAAGAGCACCCGAATGTGCCCCCTGCCATGATCTTGCCCATCAGAGTGTGCGCTAGACTGTGGTGGCTGCCAGGTGACCTGATTCTCTCATCGGAGGGAAATGTGGGGAATCTAGATTCTGTCCCTCCCCTCCTGGCTACGTGGAACTCACTCTGAGGGTAACTGGAAAAGTTTTCCTTGGTAATTTTCCTCTTTGGGAGGGAAGCCACGGGCACTCCCTTGGAGCTACCCTCCTGGACTTCTGTGACCCTCCCGGGCCCAGGGCTCACGGCTGTGAGTCGGGGCAAGTTGCAGCAGAAGCCGGCGGGGAAGCAGCCCTGGCCAGTGTTGGGGGATTTGGCAAACATTTATCACCGACACCTCGCCAGCTCCTGGGCTGGAGTCTGTCCAGATCATGCCGTCCAGGTTCCCAGGGCATAGAGGGAGGGACATGGACCCAGGTAGTCTACCATGAGCCAAGGGTTGGCAAATGTTGTAATCGAGTTCCAAACAAGTCAGTTAACGGGGAGGAGGTAGTTGGTTCTGCCCGGGGAGACCGGAACTGCCTCCGTGGGGAGGCTGGATGTGCACGAGGCCTGAAGAGGTGACCCAGCATTGAGAGGCACACATGGAAACGAGGCTGTGGGGTGACATGCAGAGACAAAAGGCAATTATTCTGCTGCCTCCCAAAGCAAAATTCTAAATGCCCACAAAGCGGAGGGCCTGCAGGATGGCACCTCTCCTTCAATAAGAGGGACATACCTTCCCCGCGGCAGCTGCTGCATTCTGGGTCTTCCAGAGAATAAATGAGGCCTTGCTCCTGGGCTCTTCCTCTCTGTGGCCTGGAGTTGCCACTTGGGAAACTTAAGACAGAACTGTGAAAACAGAAAGATTGGGAATTCAGTCTCACGTTCAGCTGGTGAACTCTGATCCACTGTGCGCCCTGCTGCTCAGGGACGTGTGAGGGTGCCTGAGACACTCTGCACCAAGTGCTGAGAGCTCCTTGGACACAAAGCCTGTGGCAAGGCCAGGAAGACCACTCATCTTCTATTGCTGGGCCTCCCAGGGGCCAGTGCGATGGGACCCTGGTCAGGGACACAATGCCAGGGGAACAGCCCTTATGTATGTTTGTGGGGGTTAAAATAGGAAGGATGAAATAGAGATCCTGATATTCTATCCTCAACTTGCCTGTCCCAAATACATGACAATAAATGGACAGCTGTGTTTGATGACCGTCCCCCTTCCCTGAAAAAATCACCCCTTTCAAGCTTGTGCCCCAAATTACTAAACAATGCTTCCTTTTCTCAGCACTCCAAAAATAATCCTTTTGTTTAACCACAATTTGCAAAAACAATTTCTTCATTGTAAATAAATCCCTAGACTCCACGATAGTCCCCGATCCAAGAAAACACAGGAACATATTTTATAAGCTTTGTGTATTTCCAAACAAGGGACACGGTTTCACCATAGAAACGCTATTTTTAAGAATCCTCCTGACAGTCAACCCTAGCCTGTGCTCCTGCACCATGAAAATGAGGCTTTACCAAGAGGAGGTACGCGGTGGAGGTGAAGCTGGCCAGGGACTGCGGGCTGTCCGGCCGTCTCTTCAGTCGACCACCCAGGGGTCTAGAGTGTGCCTTGCAGCACTGGGGCCCAGCTGGAGAGTCCTGCCGAGTCAGGCTGCCCTGGCTGGCTGGGTGCACAAACAGCCCAGAGAGGCAGGAGGCACGGCTCGGGCACTGGCTGGTCCTGGGCGAAGGAGGGCTGGCGGGTGGGGAGGCAGGCTTCGTGGAGCCAGGGTCAGAAAGGCGCAGGTGCCTGGCACACCCCCGACCCTGTGCAAAACCACACACCTCTTAACTGGTGGTGGGGATTTAGTTGGATCATTGAGGGATTTTTCTGCTCTCTCTCTCTCCAGAAAAGACCTGGACGTTCCTGCCCACTGGGGACCTTTATAGAGATGGTGTTCTTCTGAGAGTACTGAGTGCTGGGGCACTTATCTGCCACCACCCATCAATGGACCTGCTACCATTCCTGGCCCTAGAATGTGACAAGCACACCCAGCTGCAGACGCCTTCAGGTGGGAGCCTCCCTTGCCTGCAGTTGCAAACCTTGAGCGTGTAAGGGTGGGTTTGCTGAGGGCCACAGCCAGCTTCTGCTATGGGTCTGAACTACTCGCAGGCCATACCATACCAGATGTCTCCTCCCTGGGTGCCAGGGTTCAACATGATTGCTTTTGTTAGGACCTTTCCTGAAATGTGGCACATATCTCCCTGACTGGTAAACTACCTTCAGAACATAACCTTTCACGTTCTCAAGTAACTGGGGCCACCCAAAAAGAGCAGGACCAAGAGGTGGATGCCCAGATCAGCCCCTCCTGGCTTCAGACACTGTCTGCTCAAACCCTGCAGCGCTCTGAGGCTGACCAGGGCTCCCGCGCCCTCCCCCAGTCAGGGTGGAGTGGGACCAGGTGGATAGGACATGATCTGTTGCTCACAGCCCAGGGACAAACTGAAGGGGAGGGAGCTTCTGCCATTGAAACTCTGCTTTTCAGGGTGCCGCAGCCCGGCTGGGCAAAATAACTGGGAGGTGACAAGCAACTTGAAGGTTGAAATGGGAACTGCTTTATTGCGGGACAGCAGAGGTATATATACCTGATTACACATAGCTTGACTCAATTAGCATCATCCGATACAGCAATCAGCCAATAAGGAATCCCATTAAGATGGTAGGGATTCCTTATTGGCTGATTGCTGTATAAGGAATAAGGAATCCCCACCATCTTAATGGCTCGGTGGTGTTGCCTAACAAACCACTCCTCCTGGCAAACTGTCAGGCGCCATCTTGACTTGATTTGCGGTCCCCAACATCTCCCCACTTTTATTTTATTAAACAACAAGCATGTGGCTTAGGGACCGTGCCTGTTTTAGGTTGTCCAATACTACATATGGCCCTTACCCGTCATTGGATGGTCTGACCTCAAATCGTCAGCCTCCTGGCTTAGGTTGGTACCACTGTAATTGGATCTTACCTGTCTTTGACTACCGGCCCAACACACTTAGCCATACTTGTGGATAACGACCATAGTGGTTTTTACACAAACACCATAAACAACCTGCCACAAGCAGAAAGGAGGAGGATACAAAATGCCATGATACCAAGCCATTGACTGCTCCAAGTGAGAAACCCCTGGAAAAACTGCACCACAGATGACCCCGTCAGCAAAGATACCCTGGTACTATTGCAATTTGTTGTATTAGTTCATAATGCATATAAGTGATACACAGTCCAGGTAAGTTCTGCAAGCAGCTTAAAGCAAAGGAATCCATTAATATGTCTATTTCTTCTTGAAGTAAATATTGATGCAACAGTTTTTACAGTTTGTGTGATAGCTATCGCAGAAACTCCAGTAGCAGCAGCAGAAACAGCAACAGCTGTGATAATGGTAGCTGTAATTCCTTCTTCCTGTAACTTGCATATGGGTTTGAAGGCATTCCCACAAGTGAGCCTCAAGGTTTTTTACATTTGAAATAGGCCTTAATGGTGCTCATTATTCATTAGCCTCCAGGTGTGGGAGAACCACTGCCGCAGATATAAGGATAGCTAAACTGGAGTTCTGGATATCAGCTGTTATAGATTTGAGCCAAATCATCTTCTTTTTGGTCAGTAGAAATCGCTTTAGTTAGTCTCTCTGGAATCCAAATCGGCTGCTGTTCTCCCTGTGGAAACACACAAACAGACCCCCAACTCCAGACAATCACTGGGTCAGGACCTTTAAGATAATAACTGTAAGCTGATGCAGCTGTGGTGAAAGCTATAAAATCCTTGGTAGCCATCCCCTGACAACCTACGGCCCTGGGGGTGTCCCGGACTCGAACTGCCACCTGGCCGCCCGGGCTCGGGCTCACGCTCGCGGCAGTCCTGCTCCCTGGGTGGGGGGCGGGGTGGGGCCGGCTGCCACTGCCGCCACTGGCTGGAAAGTCCCTGTTGCGTCACGACCGGCTGGCACACGCGGCAGCTGCCACGCCGCGCCACTTTACGCACCCTCTGGTGATGAAAAGTGGTTAGTAGCAGCTTTTTGTTGTAACTCCTTCCCTGATAGTCCTTCCTCCTCTGAACTTTCTTCCTCTTTCTGATTAGAGTTCCTGGGCTTTTATCAACATATGCCCTAACTGTTCTTGGTTTTACTGGGGTGCCTCCTTCCTTTAGCAATTTACTTAACACCCTTTCGGTTTGATTTTCACTAACTTTTGATCCATAACAAAGACAACACAACACACCAAGACAAAACAAGACAAAAACACACTGTATCAATCTTCTCCATTTTCTCGAAATGGCCATCCTTCCTCTCACCCTATCTGCTTCCTCAGGGGCGAGTAGCTTTCCTCCTGACCTATCTATTTCTAGGGACAGGCAGCTTTCCTCCTGTCCTATCTATTTCTAGGGACGGGCAGCTTTCCTTGTCACTTACCCCGGAGCATCCCGGAGTTCCCCATACGGGCCACCATTTGCCGCAGTCCGGCTGGTCAAAATAACCGGGAGGTGACAAGCAACTTGAAGGTTGAAGTGGGAACTGCTTTATTACAGAACAACAGCAGAGGTATATATATACCTGATTACACACAGCTTGACCCAATTAGCATCATCCAGTTACGGCAATCAGCCAATAAGGAATCCCCACCATCTTAATGGCTTGGTGGTGTTGCCTCACAAACCACACCTCCTGGCAAACTGCCAGGCGCCATCTTGACTTGATTCGCGGCCCTCAACATCAGGGGACACATAAAGGAGACACCGAACCAGTGACCCTTCCTTGGAGATGTGCCCAATGCCGAGGATGGACAAGACCAGTGATGCCTGAAAACCTTCTGCTGCCCCACACTTGGTGGCCGCAGACCAAAGAGCCCAGCACAGTTCCTACCCAGCCACAGCCCGGTGCCCCCTGCTGCCATCTGCCCTTCTCAGTATTGGGCTCCCAGTCCCCGCCCTGCGTTTCATTGCTCCTGTGAATGGGGACAGCACAGGCTTCTCCCGTGCATCAGTGACGCGTCCAGGGGCTGGCTGTGTGGGAAGAAGTGGGGCTTGCTGCTCCGTGTCATATGCTATTTCCGAAGTGGCCCTGATCTCTGCTCGGGGCTCCCTGCTGCTGCCCGCTCCCAGCAGCACTTTCAGAGTAGGCAGCTGGGCGGGTCCAGCAAGCAGCTCCTTCCCTTCCCGTCCAAGGGGTCCTTAGTGGTGGGGCGAGAGCTGGGCAGGTTCAGTTGGAAGCGCTCTCCGTCATACTGCTGAGCATTGGGGGACAAAGCTGTCCTCTGCTGGACTCGGCTGCTGGCACACAGGGCTGGAGAGTGGGGCCTCCAAAGGCAGCCAGGCCGAGGGACGAACCCCAGGGCTTGGTCTGAGCCATGATGAAGTCGGCGTGCTCTGGGTTCCCAGTTGGAGCACTGATTCTCTCCAGGTGTGAGCCACCTTGACTTGGTTCTCCACCGCTCCCTTCACAGAGCCGCGGCCACGGGGCCTTGCAGCCCGCTTTCCTTGCTTCCCCGAGAATCTTCCAGGGGCTTCTGAGGAGCCGCCCGCCTCGCCTCTCAGTGAGCAGCCTTCCTTCTGCTGGGAGGCAGAGCCTTCTGCGCAGGGGCTGGCTGTTTGCCTCCTCCTGGCTTCTCCAGGCCTGGTGTCCCCCAGAAACCTGGGAGTCACTCCAGGCCTCTCCTTCCTCCTGATCACTGCCCCTGCACACAGCTCGCAGCTCCACCTGCTCCGCTCTCCTCCGCCTGCACCTGACCTGAGCTCCCGCCCGTTCCACCTAGTGTCCCAAGGTCAGGTCACCGAGTCCACCCTCCCCACCGACATCACTTCAATCCTTTGTGTGCTCATATCACATAGGACGCTCTGGCCAGAGCAGCCACCTGGGGTCTCTGGAGGGTTCCAAGCTTATTTCTGCTTTGAGCTTGTACTAGTTCCTACGGCTGCTTTGACAAACTACTTCAAAATAAGTAGCTTTGAGAAACACCCTGAAGGTATTGTAGTGCTTCAGGTCAAAACCCCACATGGGACTCACCGGGGTAGCTAACTTCAAGGTGCTGGAGGGCTGCGACCCTTTCTAAAGACCATGGAGGAACCGGTTTGTCTTTCAAACCTCTAGAAGCTGCCTGCATGCATGTCCTGTGGCTCCTTCTTCCACCTTCCAAGGTCACGACTCTCTGAGGCTTCTTCTCTCATCACACCCTCCTCTGAGTGCAGCTAGGAAAGGTTCTCCACTTGCAAAGACTGGTGTGATTATATTAGGCCCATCTGAGTAATCCAGATCACTGTCCTCTAGAGGTGCATAACCTTAATCTGCAATGTCCTTTTTGCCACGTTAGGGAAGATGTTCACCAGTTCTAGGGGTTAGAGTGCAAATACCTGTGAGGGCATTATTTTGCAGACCACAGGCCCTTTGCATGCCCTGTCTGCTGGGATGCTCTTCTACTAGCCCAACTCAATCAAGCCAAATGTCAAATCCTCAGAGAGGACCTTGCTAAAAATCCCCTCTAAATTGGACCTCATGGTTACGATGGCACTTGATTCTTTCCCTCATAGCACTTCTAACAGTCTGTATTACTCACATTTGCCTAATTACTAGTCAGTGCCCCCTCCATGGACTCCAAGCTCTGGAAGGACAGAGACTGTGCTGACTGTGCTGCCTGCTGCTGACACTGCTGGTTGCCAGGCAGAGGCTCCCCAAACACTGATCGGGCAAATGGATGCGTGAAATGCCCTGAACTTAAAGCTCAGCCCTGTCTTCTTCAGGCCAATCCCACCCTGGGCAGGAGATTGGACCCAGATTTCTGGGATCTGACGTCCATCACCTGGCTGCAGTGCCATCCCTGCCTTGCACCTCACTCACAATCCCCTCTCTCCCTCTGATGTTGAGCCCAAGCCCCTGCCTGGGTCCCCTGCCCTGCTCTGCTCTTGTACACAGGAACCTGGATTGTACCCCTACTGGGAGGGGCAGCCCTTCTCGGAGTTGTTAATTACCCACATCATCATCAGTCTCCCTCCATGGGCTTAATGCTCCACAGGAGGACGGTGTTTGCTTTTCTTTGTTAACTGTGGTATCTTCAAGACCACCAGCTCCCCGGCACTCGAGACCTGCTGGCGTGCTTGGATGCCCGAACAGCCATTTCCTGTCTGCACCTCCAGGGTTGCCTGTGACCGCTGCCCTCCTCTATGAGGAGCTTCCTGCTGCCCACAGCTCGACAGACCAACCACAGACCCTCCAGGGCCGTGTCTACACTCCCCTGTCCAACCTCGTCCTCTGGCTTCTACACTAGGCTGCCGGAATTTTATCTTTAACGCCAGTGCTGGGGTTGACTTCTCAGAGGTGGGCACAGCTTCTGTGAGGATGTAGGACTTGGTCCAACGTTATTTACTGAGCACCTAGTCTGTGCAGCCTCTCCTGCTGAGATTCACTCAGATGTGAGCACTGACAAAAGCCTCCCTGGGGAATCTCAACAAACAGCAGGAGGCAAAGAACGGACCTGAGACCAGGGCCCCCACTCCACTGCCAGCGCTGCGGGGGGGGGGGGCGGGGGGTTACAGAGGAGGAAAAGGCAGAGGGGTCCCCAGCTGTCTCTGCCACCAGTGATCCCACTAAGGGGGAAACTCAGGAGCAGGCTGCCCCTCCCTGGCTTGTGGGGCGGGCAGGGGTGGGGGTGCACTTGACCCCATGGGAAAGGTTTGGGCCAGAAACAAGGAGAATAAGCAAGATTCCCTTCTGATTTAAATGTAATTCCTGTCTAACTCCAGCAAGACAGGGCAGGCGCTGTGTTGGAAAGTCCTTGGGAATGGCAAGGTCTCTGCACACAAGCAGTCTCCCAAGCGAGGATGTGCCCAGCTAGCCTCCAGGAAGCCTGCAGGGAGGAAGGAGAGTGGCCACACATCTTCTGCAGCAGGGCCACAGCTGTCCAGTCAGGAGGGAGTCTGCAGGTTCCCTGGGCACTGCTTCCCAGTCTCTCCCTCAGAGGCCACAGGGCTCAGCGGGGAAAATTGCAAAAGAGCCGTAAGAAGATTTTCAAGGTGGAAAAGTGCAGCCCTGGAGCTGACGGACAGGCACCAGCAAGGCCATAAAGTTCCATCATTTTCCAGCTGAGCGGGGGAGGTGCTGGGGCAGCCAGGGGACCCCCATTAGGTGATAAAATTCATCTTAGCCATCTCGTTGGTCTTGCCAGCTCCCGGAATTCCACCCAAGGGCCAACAGGGAGACACCGTGGGGCTCCGAAGGTTTCCCCAACTTGCTCTCAGTCAGACGAGTCCTGGACTCCAGTCCTGGTTCACACAGAGCTTTGCTAAAGCAACGTGATCCGCCAACCCATTCTGGCTGTGTTTTGCTGGAAGCCAGAGACAAGACAAAGAACCCTATAAAAAATAACAAGCAGAGCAGAATGCCCTGCCTGTCTCCCTGAGGTGACACCAGCTATTTTCCCATGAAAATAAAAAGAGCATGGAATAATTAAGAAGTGTGTGTGTGTGTTGGGGGGGGGGGGGCGGCTGGTGAGAATCCCAAAAGCCCATCTGTAAAAACAGGAGCAACTTCAATGATTCCTAAGAAGCCAAAGAACAATTCTTGTATTATTCTGAGGTGCTTCAAATTTCTCAAAAACAGGGAATTTAAGAGAATTAACATGGCCATTTTTGGCTTTTTTAACCAGCATCTTGTAACGTTAATGCGAGTCTCAAAACAAGTATTACCAGCGTCCCCTCCCTCCATTCTGATGTGAAGAGGCTCCACAGGTCCTCCATCCTAATCCGGGTAAGTACAGAGTGGATTAAGGCAGTAATTTTCAGTAGCTAAAAAAGAACTACAAAGGCCCAAGTGCTACCAATTATATCTCAACACAAACCAGTGCCTGCTTGGGCCTCATCACAGAGAAGGCAAACAAGTTCATTGTCAACCAGGGTGTTCTCTGGGAACACGCTGGGCGCATTACGGAGGAGATATCTCGCATGTGCAATTACTCAACACATCTTTAACACTGTAAACACTTGTTCACATGTGGAGAAGCTTAGAGCCGCTCAGGCTTGGAAAGCCCACCTGGCAGGCGGTTCCCCGTTTCTCCCCAATCCAGCGCCGGCTGCTCCCAGAGCCAAACACAAGGGGGAGGAGACACCCCTAAGGGTTGGGGGCGGGAATTCACGGGCTCTATTTTTATCCAGAGCTGGGGTTGACTTCTCAGAGGTGGGCACAGCTTTCCCTTTCCCAACCTCTCTGGGTTGATCTCCTCCCATAAAACTCACCTTCACCCTGTTCCTCTGCCCCTCCCAGCAACCAGGAGCCCACCCGCCGGGAAGTGCCATCTGGCTGTCCACGTGCTGCTTTCTCCAGCTTTGACTGGTGCACGGCAGTGAGGACTGGGACATTTCCAAGGTAACCCAGCAGAGGAGGGTTGCCCAGGTTGGGTTTTCAACAGCAGACTGTGTGGCCTCCGAGAGGATACCCACCAAGTGCCCCAAATCACCTCTCCCAAGAAGCCCGACCACAGAATGCAGGGAGGCTGCGGAGCCCAGCCTGGAAGTGTGGGATCCAAATAGAAGGGGAGCAGGGTCTGTCCTCCCCAACCCCCACCCCAGTGCACGTGTGTCTGGATCACACGTCCAACATGGGAAAGGCCCCTCAGAACAGCTCATGCCGACCCCAGGGCACTGCTGATATTCTCCTCTCCTCTGCCCTGATGGTACAGGGCTCCCACAAGGAACGGATTGTTTTGCTTTTCTGATTTAATTTGCCACTGAGAAGCCAAGGACGAGGGAACAGAGACAATTCCCAGGCCCGTCGGATGCACACACATTCTGGGCTCTGCAGAGACCTTTTACAGAAAGAGGGCTCTAAATTCTGAGGGAAATCCATCCAGCCGGGGAAAGATGGCAATAAATCTGTGAGAAAATAAATTTTCACTTTAAGAGGAAATTTTACCATCGCCAAATTCTGCCAAATTTTGGATTTGGGGATTGGTAAAGAGGTTTCCAAAATGAAATGATGTCTAAACGTTGTTTATTTTAAAGGACGTAATACATAGTAAAAATGAAATAATCCTCCCACCCCGTTGAGAGTGCTTTTCTTTCCCAACAGACCTCCTCCAGCTCCAGTAATTTCACTGTTAATGGGCAGAGGAGAAGCAATCAGCTAGGTAACAGGCACCCCTGGCGCTGAAGTCATTTAATTAGCACCAGTAAATGAGAGCAGCCCAGGTGCTCGGGCGTCATTAGCCGTGCCCAAAACATCTCCCACATTGGTCAGCAATTAGAGCCAGGGGTGGGGAGCTAAGCGCCCTCAGAGAGGAATCCTCCCAACCCAGGACATGATGGGGTCCGAGGTCCAGTTCTGCAAAAGGCGGATCAAGGTCAGAGCCCCCAAACCTCTAGGGAGTCATGGAAATTGAGGAGGTAAGAGGTGTTATGAACCACCTAACAAATTCATGAGATGCCATACTTTCCACCCAGGAGAAGTTACCTGGGCTCTGGAGCCATACTATCATCGTTGAATCCTAGCTAGATGCTTCCAGCAACTTACTAGATCTTTTGGTCTCAGTTTTCTCATCTGAAAAACAGGGATAACAACAAAACCTGCCTGAGGTTTAAAGGAGTTAATGCCTGTGAGCCGCCTGGAAGGCATGCGGAAGCCTTTCAGCAGCGTTGTTCTTCCTATGTTGCTTGATTATTTCTGTCATCATTAAATTTATGTCACTTGAGTTTTCCACCATCAGTCAGCCATGGTTTCCCTGTTCGTAAGTAATGGAGTCAGCAGTCACAGTGGGAGTAGTGTTGATGATCATGGCTTCCACTTGGTGCTCAGCATGTGCTCGGTTTGGGTCTAGAGACCCTATGTTGGGGGGATGCCCTCCATACCAACTCCAGCCACCACATGTTTTTTGTAAATAAAGTTTTATTGGAACACACCGTGTCCATTCATTAATGTGTTGTTTCCAGCTGCTTTGGGCTATAGTAGAACTGAGTAATTGTGACAAGGACCAGACGGATTGCAAGGTCTAGGGTACTCACTACCTGGCCCTTTAGAGGAAGTGCCTGCCATCATCTGCCATGCACATTCAGCCTACGATAGTTCTCACAGTCACCTGTGAGATGGGATTTGTTCCCTGTTTTCATGTAAGGTGGTCAGGACTCAGGAAGGACGGGGTGGGCCTGAACCTCTCCCTCGTCCAGCCCCTGCTGGACTCCCCACTGCACCCCGCCCAGCTCTGCTCTGTCAGCTCTAGGAGCCCAGGGTGTGGTCTCCCCCAACGCAGGCAGGAGGGGCACCCTGCTAAAGGGACTTTGCTCTTTCCCTGGAGAGAGGGACCATCTGCAAGGTCGGGTGGCTCTGGTCAGTGAGGCTCTTGAGTCCGTCCCCGTCACACACAGTGGTTCCTGCACAGTGGTTCCCACAGTGGCTGGTTTGTGTGAGTCCTGATGATGGCAGAAGCAGGTGCCCTGCCCATCTGTCCCTTGGCTTGGCTGGGGACAGTTTCAGAGTTATAATAGGGAATCAGCATGGAGTTGCACCTCAGAGATGGGTGGAAATACCTGTTTACCCAGTGGCGTGGCAATTACCCAGAGATCTGTCAAATTCCAGATGTGTTCAAAAGGCTATTGCTACCAGATGTGGTGCATGTTGAGATAGTCTCCTTGTTGGAAAAGTGCCCCGGCTTTGGAGGTCTTTGAAGACAAAGGGATCACCTCACTGACCTTGGAAGGTTGCTTGTATAAGGGACACCAGCTGCCACAGGTCAGAGGCACAGCGGGAAGGCACAGACAGGGCTTGGGTGTGGGGACATTCCCATTTGCTAGCTGTGTGGGCTCGGGAACACTGCCCTCTCTCCAGAGATAAAATGACCTAGATGATCCCTTGCTTTAAAATTCTATCCTACTTGTTGCTAGGAAGGCTGTTCTAGACAGTGGCAATTCGGTGAGCATGTGGCCTACCAAGTTAGGACACCTGAATTCTTAGGTCGGCTCTGCTGTGTGATTTCAGCCAAGTTAACTGCTCTGTGCCTCCTTCTCCTCACTTGTAATAATGGTGAAAATTGCAGGGACCTGCCTTTGCTATTTTAATCCTACCTTGGGTATTTAAAGAAACAGGCCAAGTAAAGCATCCACCCCAGGTTCGGGTCTGTGTTGCAGACCATCCACACACCACCCTGGCCACATCACCTCCCACTTCAGATCATCTCTGGGAATCAGTTTGTGAGGACATCATTTGCAGCCCCATCTACTCAGAATCCAGGGCACTGCAGGACCCTGATCCGGAGGCGGAGTCTTTCTCTACCTTCGGATCCTGACCTACATAATCTGGACCGTGAAGCTCTCCTTGCTGGGAATTCTAGGCTTCTGGGAAGGGGATGGAGGTGTTGTAGTTCTTGTCTTTCCCGTCTTTCCTCTATTGCTGCTACTGAGCTCTGTGACCTGCAGGTGGTGTCAGGACTTCTGGCCGGTCCCAATATGAGGAGATGACCTCAAAGAGGCAGCAGTTCTTGCATGCATGAATTACGGGCGCCAGACTGGGGCTCCCTGTGCTCCTCTCGCTGCCTGGAACTGGCCGCGGCCTCACGGAGCCCCCTTTCTTCTTCAGCAGGGGCCGAGGGCCTGTTCTTGTGACCGGCACGAGCTCCTTCCCGTGGAGCTTGCATTCTGCTGGCGGGGTAAGGATGGGAGGTGCGGGGAAGGGAAAGAAGAAAGATGAGTGGGTGCTGCGTTGCACATCAGTAGGCAGTGTGCTCGGGCTTGGAGAAACATCGAGGGGGCAGTGTGAGGCACAGAGGGGCTGAGGGCCAGCAAAGACCCAGGTTGGAACCAGGTTGGGTGGGGACCTGGAAGCCACAGCGAGGAGTGCTTTGAGGGAGAGGAGAAGCCTCCAGAAGTCACTGGGAAAACCATGGCCAGAGACTCTGGCAACTGAGCCCCAAGATTCTAAAGTCCGACCGCAATTCAAACCCAGTTCTGTGGCTACTACCTGCTCGAACAGGCACCAGTAGCTCAGCTGTGGCCTTGCTATGAGCTCCTGCCATCCTCAACCACCCGGTTCTCCTCCTCAGACTCTCCTCCACCCCACTAGAGCTCACAGATGACCCTGGCGGACCCTCCTGAGGCCTGCTTCCACCGCAGACCCTCTTCCAAGGTCAAGTGCTGGAGGCACTGCAGCCCTGATGTGTTTCTGAACCATTTAACGTATGTAAAACTTGGCAAGCTTTTTATAGCATCCCAGTCTTTACATCTCTGATGAGGTTTCTGGGTGTTGAGCATCTAACCACATTTCCTCCCAGCCCCGTGCTTTCCTATCCTGTGTGATTTCGCCTCGCGCCCTGATTTTTCAGAAAGCTGTCACGTTCCAGCAGAGCCGACGGCAGCGCCTGTGTCAGCAGCTGTTGTATTAAAGCCTTTAGTCCTTACACAGCGGTTGGTGCAGGTCGAGCTGGACTGGGCGCAGCAGTCCTCACGGTTCTTCCTGCGGCCACAGTGTTATTTAAAGAGCCTCTCTGGCAACTGTGTTGAGAATCAGCGGCAAGCAGGCAGAGTGAAGCCCCAGAGCACACAGACAATGGCGTTGCAAAAACCCAGACGAGCAGGGATGGCCGCTGGGACCAGACAGGAACAGGAGATGTGCTGGGAGTCTATTATGCAGGTCTATTCAGCCAAATCTGCTGATGGACTGGGGATGGGATGGGAGAGAAATGATGACCCAGGGAGTTTGGTCTGAGTGAGAAGGTGATGGCTGGGCCATCCAGCGGATGGGGAGGTTGCAGGAAAAGCAGGTGGCAGGGCCATCACGTGGACATGGTAGGCCTGTTCACTGTGGGATGCCTGTCGGCCACACGCAGTCATTTCCTCCCCTCTATACCTCTCTGTACCTATCAACCTTCAGTGGGTTTACACCGCATTCCTTGCTAAATTACAAGTTCCATGAGGAAGACGTGATGTCTTCTTTGCCCTTTGTCCTCAGAGAACATAGTAAATGCTCAATAAATATTTCCTAAAAATGAATGAGTAAAGAGAAGCACCAACTCTGCTTACAGAGCAGCTTCCACCCCATGCTCCCGCCCCTCAAGAATGGCTGCATTCCGTCAATGGCTGAGCTGCCAGCTATCAAGGATCCAGAGCAAGGATGGAGAAGAAAGCTGGCCAGTCATTGTGCCTCCGTGTGGATGCTCTGGCATTTGGATGGGATCTACAGCAATGTCCCTGTCCCTGGGAGAAACAAACCCCTGGTGGAGGACCTCCGTTCTGGCATCCCAACTCTGGCGGCCACCACCATTTCTTGAAAGTGCACCACAATCTGAAAAAGACATTCACAAAAAAGCAGAGTCCAGGGCTTTGCCTGCTGCACAAATCCTGTGGGTTTTACCAACACATATACTTAGGAAGGTGGGGTAAACGCTCATAAGAGTTTACAATCTCAGGTCCAGATTTGCCAGAGACTATCATGATGGGGATGTCATCCTGGGGAAACCCTCAGGCTCAGGCAGACCCGGGTTCTGGTCACCCTCAGAGCCAACATGACCCTCACAGGGCCTAGAAGCTGACCCACATCCTCCTGTGGCAAAGGAGGCGGGGTCAGCTCTGCTCACTACAGAGAGGAGTAGGGATGGCCCCCCACCAGCAGGTCTTCCTGGGAGAGCCGTTTCCCACTGGCAAGATGGACAGCCACACTAAAACCCAAGTCACCACATTTTCTCCTTTGGTCTCCTAAGGAGCTCATCCACTCTTCCCTTCGCCCTGGCTGCTCTAGGAGTGAAGAGCATGTGACGGAGGCAGGGACTGGTCACCGGGAATCCTGGGATCTTCACCCCACACCCCACCGTGTATTGTGTCAGCCGTGAGGCCCACATGGGTGTGGCCAGAAGACTCTGGAGAAAGATGACCCACCAAGGACTAAAATGCAGGAAGGGGGGGGGGTTAATTTCTCTCCAATTGAGAAAAGTAAATTTTTCTGCTTACTAAGTTGCACACTGAGATGGCTCAGAATGCAGGGGACGTTGAGCAATTACAGCTATTTGCATTTTATTGTTTTTTTTCAGTGGAGGAATAAAGGGTATAGGCCCCGCTCCCAGGTCCTGGCATATCTGCCTATCAAGTTACCTTTAACTTGGCTATTAAAGGGCAGGCAGAGGGCTGGATGCGGCCACATGAAAAGCACCTTGGAGCTCTCTCACAGTTGGCCGAGTTCACAGAACAAGAAGGGCCTTTCATGGCGGGGCATCGGGCCCAAGGAGTGCAGCATGGCTGGGGCCCCTCTGGGTTCCAAAGCGGGGCTTCATATCATGGCCACTCAGGTGGAAAGAGAGAGCTGGCCTGCCACTCCTCCACTCCCACCTGAGGTCACAGATGAATAGAGCTGATGGAGAGTGGAGCTAGCGTCACAAGGGACCCAGTGATGTGGGCAGGAGGTGTCTTGTTCAGAGATAAGCCTGGAGTCGGGGAGGCTGTGGGGTTCCTGGGCCATCGCTTGATGTGGACGGGGACAACACAGCATTGTTGGGAATAGCCAGTCTCCTCCCAGACAAGGCAAGGCTAAGAGGATAGCGTGGTGCTGAAGGGAGAGATGTCTCCAGGAGGCCGGGCCTCCAAGAACAAATGCTTGCTTTAAATTCCACTCATGCACACTTGCTGGCTGGCTTCAAATACTTTTCCATTCTCTACAATATAAAAATACAAACCAGCATTTGTGAAGGGCTCTGCCAGACTGGGGAGAGGGCAGTGAGCACAAAGGTTAAGGGCCCAGCTCTAGAAACAGACTCCAATTCCTGTGTGTAGTAAGTGGTCAGTTAATGGTAGCCCTCTTATCAGGCACAGACCGAGACAGAAGCAGTACCGAATGCACACTGTGAAAGGAGTGAGCATGGATGCAGGATGCCTTTCTATTTATGTGTCTTCAGTTTCTTTTATCAATGTGCT